TAATTATTTTACCTTTTACACCCCCTGAACATATTTTTCACTGTGGAGAGCGCCTATAGACTAAATTAGGTCCTTTGATCAGCTGTTCTGTTTGGCCTCTGCCACGTCGTCGTCGTGCACTAGAGGGCGGTGGATGCTTTGAAGGTTTGATCTCGGTTGATCTCGTGACTCAGGTGTGCGCCGGGGCTGCCGGAGAGGAGGGTGTACACGGGCGGTATACGACGGTGTGGCGTATGGAACAGCGCGGCGAGAGGGCGAGCGGGGTGACAGGAGGGGGGCAGGTGGATGTGAAGTGGGGCGGAGCAGAAGGCCTTTGTTGTGATCAATACTACGCACAAATAGCGCGCGTACACCGTACAGAGCGCGGGGCACAGGGCACACTCGGCGCCGTGTTCATTTGATATTTGGTATGGAAGGTATGAAAGGGAAGGTGAGGGGGGTGGGGAGGGGAGGCTGTCGTCAGGGACCTCTCTATATTCCGCGTTCCAGTAGCTCGCCCTGCGCGCGTGTGTATACCACACTACATTTAATCCGCTCTACCGCCGTGTATGCCACTGGCTTGCTTTGGGCACTGCTGCCTCTTTTCATATGCACCGCGACGAGACTGGCTGCGTGCAGGTTTTTCATTAACCGTTTCCAGAGGCAAAAAGTCTCGAGCGACTGGCTTGCGGTGGGGAGCTTGTTCTGAGCGGCGCTTACCCCCCAACCCCCCCAACCTCACCGAGCCTTTCACCCTTAGTCCTTTATAGTGGGGAAATGTATCCATATTGCTTATGAGTTTTACACGGCTCTGGTAACATGCTGGTACATAGATTATTGGCGGTCTTCATACACTGTAGAAAATTGTTTATTCTTTCAAGAATACTTTGACACACACATTTTTGGATTGGTCAAAAACATTTTTATTCTTGAATCAAGATACCGCCTAACTTGATAGCGATCGGGTCAAATTTATTTCTAAAAAACGGCGGTATCATCTTTGAAATTATGGGACGTAATATCATAGTAAAATCACAAAAAAAGAAATTGATCTTTTGTCACCATTAGTACAAAATGTACGCACAGTAAAGAGACAGTGTTTTGGGGTGAAGAATTTTTTAGTGAGTATAAAGCGTTTTTGAACTTTTTTAAAAATGAATTAATGCAGACGTGTTTGAAGTGTACGTAACTTTACCGAGAAAAGAGTTTAGAACATATCTACGGGTCCACCCCCACCCGACTCTTCCCCTCACCACAGCCTTCATAATTTTCCTCTTTTACAAACTTGATCTCGGCTCGGGTGAGGAGGCGCCCGCTCGCCGCTCTGTGCGTGGCCGCGCTGGCCAGGCCCCGGCGGTGCGCTGTTGTGGTCTCAGATGCCACCCACCCCCTTTCCACATGCCACCCCTCTCACTAAGGAAGGGCCTAACTGGCCTCACGGGCCCAGCACACGCACGTCCCGCGCTGCATATCAAATGTTGGCGCGCTCCGCGCCCCGCTTCTCTCTCCAAAGCAGAGCGTGCGACTCTGATGCGACGCCGCGCGAAGAAAGAGGGAGGAAGGGAACAAAAAATAAGATTTGTCATCAACGCCCGCGCTCGGTTGATTCTCATTGTTTCGTAACGCCTCATCAAAACGACCGTAGTGTTTGTTATTGTGTTTGGTTGACTGCGCGCGCTCGGGGGGAGGCGGCCACCCGACTCCACAAGTAGTAGTAGCGCCCCCCGTTTACAGGACAGCAGGGCGAGCGTGCTTGGCCCCCTGCTACTACTTTGTCCGAGCGGCTTGCGGGGCGGAACTTATCGTCCCCGCTGCCCCGCACCACGGCCTTCAACGAGGCCATAAGCCCGGTGACTTGTGGCTTTGTGGCCCGTGCGACGGCCGCAAACTGCGCGAGCGGGCCACAGAGGCGCCCCCGTGATGACTCTATTCATATCGACAGGTGGGATGGGGGGCACCCCGCCCGCCCCGAGCCCGGAGGCACCGCCGCACCGCGAGCCGCGCACTCCACAAGATTGCTGGTTTCACTCTCCTGCTGCTGGACTGGGGGACGCCTCCACGGCGCGAAACATTCTCATTGGCGCAAGTGTCGCTCGGCATTAGCATTCTCAGACTGTTTGAGAAGTCGGCGCGGCGGCGGCAGGTGTGCAGGTGGTGAGCAGCAGGCGCCCCGCGCACCAGTGGTGCAGTGGTGCTGCCGCGAGAGGGTGGCCTACCCACCATGTAGGCCGCCCCTGCGCCCGCTCCACGTGGAACACGCGGACGTTGAAGTCGAAATGATGACAGTGATACAATAAGTATTCGTGCCTAAATAAATATATGCCGATGGATGTCCTTTTGACATCACCATCACGCGAGGTAAGTTAATTATTTTGGCCCGTTTTAGCCCGTTTTACCTGCGCGCGCACTACCGAACTTAAGAAAAAGCCAACTGATTTTCGCCCATGCGAGCTCTAGAAGCGCATGATCATGTTTCTAAAAACACTTGTTTTGGGTTGTTTTTATTCTTTCTTTTTAGACGATCCCGTTAGGTATCGGCTTTATTTTTTATTTATAACAAAAGGAAATTAAATTCAGAAACAGGACTCACAGGTGCAGACTGCCGAAGTGTAGCCGAACTGCCGCCGGCCGCGACGCGACGCTGTCGTCACTGTGGTGGTGGTGGTGTGATCCGCTCTTGCCGTCGGCTCGTCACGAGCGTCGTTGGCGTGGCCGAGAGAGACGCGCAGCAGCTCGACGTACGGAACAGACCGAGCGCTCCCCACGAGGCGTTCCACGAGGCGGCCGCACCGACACTGGGGGGTCGCGGCGCGCGGGCCCGGGCACTACACCACCACCCTGTGGAGGGTGGGGCGGGGCGGGCGGAGGAGGGAAGTCCGATCAGACAGGTGGGGAAGCTGGGCAGCACTGGAGTGCGAGTGCACCACAGCGAGCGTCGACTCTTCATCATTCTCGTCATATCTCTCCCATGGCGCCGCGTTCCTGAAATGCTTGGAACGAAACAATTCTCATTCTTTGTAATTGCGAGTAATTGATTGCCTCGTATCACGAAAGCATTTCTGGGCAAGATGATGATGAAAATCCCATAGAAAATCCTAGAAACACCAGTCATACCCGTCACTTGCCGCCGCCGCGAGGGGGCAATAACTCCGGGAATCATGTGTACACCTGCCTGGGAATCACAGGATAAAAATCAATCGAAATCAACAGAAATCGCTTAAAATAAGCGGGAAACTAGTGGAATTCGTACAAATTAGTCGAAATAACGTACAAATTTGTCGAAATAAGCGTTTTCTACCTCTAAAACTCACCGCTGTTACGTAATTATTTTGCACAAAATACTGGTCTGTGGGTAGACCGGACCGACGCGCGGTGCTCGACATTCCCTACAGAGGCAATACAGCCGGACTGAATGTACTCGCTGTTCCGCACGGAGAGAAGGCCCCGCCCCCACCCCACCTCCCCGCCGACCTCTCCTGATGAAACGGAACTCGCCCCAAACTCGGATGGATGAAATGGGGGGCCAGAGAGGAAGGCATGGCTGCTCTGAGTCGCGTAGAGTCGCAGTGTCCACGCAGAGAGAGAGAGATGCCGCTGCTTTCGGAGGGGAGAGCGAGAGAGAGGCGGTCCGGGGGCATCTCCCGGGTTCGCTCGGCTGTCTCTCTCGCACTCGCATACAAATTCCTCAAGTAGCGCCATCTCTCTCCCGCACCGCACACGTCCAGTCTGCCAAGCTGAACACGGGGCGCGACTCTTCGGACGAGTTGGACCTTGGACCATCCTGAAAAGAGGACGGAAAATGTAATCAAATGTTCGTTTCTCTTGTTCCTTTTTTCCTCTTTCAGCGAAGCACGTCATCAAAGGCGAGTTTTTTTTATTTTTATTTTTGTGGAAATGAATTTGCAACGTGCGTTAAAAGAAACATCATCAGACCTTAAGTCGCCCGAATATCACTGCATGTTGACAGAAATCCGTAAGCTCTATGAACTGAAAAGTTAAGATGCTAATGTGCAGTGGCCTGGATGCTTCAAAATGCGTAAAAAGAACCCTTTCTAAATCATGCGTAAGCTTTCGTGCTTTTGCTCGATCTGGGACTGTGGGTAAATCCATCATTTCGTTACTGATCATGTTTTTAAAAGTACTTTTATTATTTCTCATGGTGTCGGATAACCCCCCTCTGCACAATAAAACATGCTCACCATCCCGTGTAACGTTAACTCCCCTTTACTTATTTGGCATGCGGGAGGCCTTGCCGCCACGGGACGGGCGGGTCAGGTTTCAGGTTTCATGGCCCGGGTCGCTGAACCGCTGGCTGCCGTCGGTGCTGGTGCCAAGCGCCCCTCACCCCGCACCTAACCTGGCTGGTAGGGAAGGTGCCTGGAGGCTCAAGGCCTCCACAGGCAGACTTGTTTACAAACGCGAGGGGCGGCCCGTAATAAAAGCAGCCTGGGCGACAAAGCGGGGGGGGGGGGGGCAGGGCCGCCGGGTCGTTAAACGGGTCCGACGCAATTAGACTTCCCATTGATTTTGCGCGTCCCACGCGCGCGTGACACAATTTTATTCGCGTTTTTTTCGCGTTTTTTTTTTTCGGAAACAGGAAATGAGAGAGAAGACAAGAGCAGCCACACTGGTTTTTCTCTCCTCCCTTTCTTTCAAGTCGTCCTTTTAAATCTCTGTCCCATTTCATTGCGAGCATAGGCCATGGGTCAACATAAAAATACAACAAGGAAATTGAGTTCTATTTACTTTGCATTCTTTGAATAATGAGAAGGAAAAAAATTAGGGCGTAGAACTTTAAAATAAGCAATTAGAGGACGTGGTATTTGCGATTGCTGAGACCGACATCCGGAGAAAATAAAGCAGAACGCCGGGATGTGGGAGAGTCGCGTAAAGAGTCAGTGGCCGTACGGGTATCAGCCGCGGAGAAGGGTTGGAGAAGAGCCTTCCTCGCATACAAATTGACGCGTCCGGCGTGCGCCGCCTGCAAGTGCCCGGGGCTGATGAATATGTAGCTGTGCCGGACGCGGTCGGCCTGCTGCTGCCGATGATGTGATTCAATCCAACACTTTTGTGCCCAACAGTATGTTGCTAGATTTCTCAGTGCAAAATAACGCGATGCGATGCACGTAACATATCGGGTGCTTCGGTGCACGCGCCGGTTGCGAGCGGCTTTGTCTTTATTGCTCTGTTCATGCCAGTGACGCGTGTCTATCGCCCGCGCTTACGAGTCTGGACAATATCCGAAGACGCCTCTCACTCGCTACCCCTCTGCGCCCCTCTCTGCTCGACTCTCCTCTGCTACCGCCGTCTTGCGGTGGGTATCCTGCTCGACGGTGGCAGACGGTGGCGCGGGGAGGGAGCGAGGGAGGGAGGGGTGGCCTCCGCGCCGTCTGCTCTCGTTAGGTGGAGCACCACGGGGCTTGTCAGCGTCCTCCCCGGTAGACAACGAGACTGTGCGCGGAATATTCGTCTGACCTTTCACCATCAATACGTTGGCTCTTTCGAAAGAATTCACAAAGCACGGCGCGACCTTTTAGCAGTGAGAGATTTTATTTGGTTCCGCGCTTTTGCCGCGCGAGCACTGTCCGGATGGACTTTCTATAGAGCGAGGCGGAGGTCACGACCCCTGCTGCGCCCTCGGCAGCCTCGGCAGCTCCCCGGAGGCCGTCGGAGCGGAGCCGTCAGAGTGGCCAGCGGCGCTGGAGTCCAGAGACGTGCGCGGTCGGCCCGGAGGACTCCCGAGAACCCCCAACACCCCCACTGGGCAGGGCGCTGCGCTCCGCCAACGCTCCACCAACCCTACGCCAACGCTTCGCCAACGCTCCGCCAACGCTCCGCCAACGCTCCGCCAACGCTCCGCCACGCCCCGCCGTGCCCCGATTGGTCTGCGTCCCATCCTCCCAATGAGAGCGACGTGAAGGCCACGGGCAGCGCTCCTTTTCCTCCTTTAACTCCCCAGCCTTCCCGAATCCCCATCGCCCCCTGATTACCTGGACTCCTCCAGCGCCG